TTTTTAATTGATGTATTTTTAAAAATTTAGTGCTCTTTCAAAATATTTCAATTAAATTAAAAGAATCAATGTCACTAACCTGTACTCAACTCAGGACATCTCAAATTGAGTCAAGAAAATGCTTTACAAAAGCCAAGTTCTATCCTTACAGAAATATATATGACTGGAAAGATAAAACTCTAGGAGTTTAAGTTGTTTTAAATAATCATTAAAGAAAAATCCATTTCTTAACTGGCAATGATATACTACTAACAGAGGCATCTGCTATATCAGGATAAAGTATGGGTCAGTACAGTTGGTAATATTTTTTTAAATCCTCACACTTGTATTTGCTGAGTATCCACTTTCTATAGGCATTCTGAATCATCCTTGCCAAGACATTTTCTTTCTGGAAAAGGGGTATTAATTCCACCCTCACCTCTAGCTGTATGGTATTTTACTTGTAATTTTTAGAGAGAATTAGGCATATTTAAATTGCAGTGAAAGCTATGAGAATTAGCTCTGGAGACGATGACAAGCTGAATATAGTCTCTCCAAAGAAATTTTCAAGTTGAGTATTTTGAGCTATAATTTCAGGTGTTTAATTTAAAGGAGTGAATTGGAGAAGGAGATCTCAAGGTAAAATCACTATTGCTATTAGTTCTTACCATTATTATAAAATTAACCAAATACCTCTAAATTAAAAAAAAAATTTTTTATTGATTTTAGAGAAAAGAAAGAGAGAGAAATATTGGTTTGTTGTTCCACTTACCTATGCATTCATTGGTTGATTCTTGTTTGTGCCCTGATCGGGATCAAACCTGCAACTCTGGCATATCGGGACAACTCTCTAACCAACTGAAGCACCTGGCCAGGGCTTAACCAAGTATTTTATAACCAAGCAAGAAGAAATTCAATTCTTCAAAGGGCAAGCTAAGCTAATCAGTTCCACCAACTTACAGAAAAATTTCCATTAAGAAAATAAACTTTGTAAGTGTAAGGAGTATTTTTGTTAATCCTCACCTGAGGATATTTTTCCATAGATTTTTAGAGAGAGTGGAAAGGAGGGGAAGAGACAGAGAAAGAAACATCAATGTGAGAGAGACACATTGATTGCCTCCTGCACTCGCCCCGACCAAGACTGGGATAGAGCCTGCAACCAAGGTACCTGCCCTTGACTAGAATCGAACCCAGACCCTTCAGTCCTCGGTGAGCCAAACTGGCTAGGGCAGGTAAGGAGTATTTTATTTTTTAAATTAAAAAAAAAAAAAGATATATACTTTTATTTCAGAGACAAAGGGAGAGGGAGAGAGAGATAGAAATGATGAGAATTATTGACTGCCTCCTGCATGCCCCCTATTAGGGATCGAACCTGCAACCTGGGCATGTGCCCTGACATGGAATTGAACCATGGCCTCCTGGTTCCTAGGCCGATGCTCAACCACTGAGCCATGCCAGCCGGGCAATGGGTAAGGAGTATTTTATATACCATTGTAATTCTTATATCATGAGTTCTCATTATTAGTTGACTTTGAATTTTTGCTAGATAGCTACTTTAGTTCTGGTAGTCTATCATGTCTTAAATGAAGGATTAGTTTAATACTTTTCTTTTTGCAATTTTAACATGTCTTCTTGCTACCACTTTTTTTTTTTTTTTAACAGTGTGTTACATTTTTTATTCACCGATAAAAATCCATTTCTAGATGTTTCTCTTGGTACACTTCATATGTTTTATTAATAAGCAAAGGCCTATATAAGGTGCCTTCACCTAGTCCTCAGATTCAGACCCATCTTCATCTTGACTAATCTGGAAGTAACGCAGTTCATACGTCTCCTTGTCAGATGCAACCACACGAAGCCAATCACGAAGACTATTCTTCTTGAGGTATTTCTTGGTAAGGTATTTCAAATATCTTTTAGAAAATTGTTTCTCAGAAACAACTGTGATTTTATTCTTGAAGTGTTCAATGTGAACAACATTCCCAAGATTTCCAGTTTTCCCATTGACTTTAACCTTCTCCCGTAGAAACTGTTCGAAATTTGCAGAATCAAAAATGCCATCTTCTACTGGATGGGTAAGGTCCAAACCAAACTTCCAGGTTGTCCTCTTAGGCTTCTTGACTTTCGGTGCCATCTTGCCGCTAGTCCGTGCGATCAGAGCCTTGCTACCACTTTTATCCTCTACAGTCCTTTTTTTTTTTTTTTATAGAGCAGCCAGTAATTTCTTTTAAATACTGAATGTCATGTCAAATCTCTAATTAAAAACTTCAGATATCTTCCTACCTTAGTCCGAAAATCCAAATCCTTAACTACACCCTACATAGACTTAGACCTCTGTCCCCTAAAACTATCCTCTATGAGCTCAATTTCTATCACTTGCCCCCTCCCTCACTATACTCTTTACTGAATTCCTTAATATTCCTTAAACATGACAAGCACCTTTGATCTTGTCATTACACTTGATGCTTAGAACGTTCTTCCCCAGATATAGAAATGACTCACTTCCTCAATTCCTTTAGATCTCTGGCTCAAATACCACCTTATCAGAGGGGCTTTCACAGATTATCCTTTATAAAACATAAATATCTAACTCCCTTTACCAGTACTCTTTATCTCCCTCACCTTGCTTTATTTTTCTTCAAAGCACTTCCAACCTCATGAAGTATTATATTTTCATTTATTGCCTAACGCTACGTATTAGAATGTAAACTCCATAATGATATGACTTAAGATGTATTGCTATTATATCTCAGCACCTATAACAAAACGTAACTAGGCATGTAGGAGGTGATCAATAAATATCTGATGAGTGCCAAAACCGGTTTGGCTCAGTGGATAGAGCGTCGGCCTGCGGACTCAAAGGTCCCAGGTTCGATTCCGGTCAAGGGCATGTACCTGGGTTGCGGGCACATCCCCAGTAGGAGATGTGCAGGAGGCAGCTGATCGATGTTTCTCTCTCATCGATGTTTCTAACTCTCTATCTCTCTCCCTTCCTCTCTGTAAAAAATCAATAAAATATATTAAAAAAATAAATAAATAAATATCTGATGAGTGAATTAATAACTGAATAGAGTATGGTCAATATTTTTCTTTTCACCAGTTCATATTCATCATACACTTGGATTCCTGCCCATTCAGTGACATTAAAGTCCTACTGTGTTAGGGATGGGAAGTGCAAAAAGATAAATCAAGGGTAAGATTAAATATTAGAGAAGCAGAATAGTGCATGGTTAAGAGCACAGATTTTGGAACTAAATAGACCTGGGTTCAAATTCTAGCTTGAGCTATCAACTTTTTAAAAAACCTATTTATTTACTGATTTTTAGAGAGAGGGAGAGAGGAAATGGGAAGGGGTGGAAGACATCGATTATTATTCTACTGATTTATGCATTCATTGCTTGATCCTTTATATATATACTAGAGGCCCAGTGCACAAAAATTTGTGCACTCGGGGGGGTCCCTCAGCCTGGCCTGGGACCCCTCGGGGGATGTCCACCTGCTGGCTTAGGCCTGCTCCCCGGGGGATTGAGCCTAAGCTGGCAGTCAGACATCCCTCTGGCAGCCCAAGAGCCTTTGGGGGATGTCCACTTGCCAGCGGGGAGCAGGCCTAAGCTGCAGTCGGACATCCTTAGCACTGCTGAGGAGGCAGGAGAGGCTCCCGCCACCATAGCTGGGCTGGCAGCCGTCAGCCTGGCTTGTGGCTGAGCAGAGCTCCCCCTGTGGGAGCGCACTGACCACCAGGGGGCAGCTCCTGCATTGAGTGTCTGCCCCCTGGTGGTCAGTGTGTGTCATAGTGACCAGTCATTCCCAGTGGTTCTCCTGTTAGGGTCAATTTGCATATTACCCTTTTATTATATAGGATAATCTACACTAATAAAAAAGAAACATGCTAATTAACCACCACTCTGCTACACCCACAAGCCACGCCCACCAGTCAATCAGGAGTGAGTATGTAAATGAACCCAACTAGGAGGGCAGGGGCCACCGAGCTGGAGTGAGCAGGCCGGCAGACAGAGTGGTTAGGGGCAATCAGGCAGGCAGGCGAGTGGTTAGGAGCCAGCAGTCCAGATTGCTAGAGGGGTCCCAGATTGGAGAGGGTGCAGGCCGGGCTGAGTGCCCCCCCCCCGTGCACAAATTTTGTGCACCAGGCCACTAGTAATTATAATAATTTATTGGTCTGTAAATACCATAAATCTGCAAGTACTACTTTATATTTATATAGCCCTGGAGAATTAAGCAGGTGAGTTTTTGGCTACTTCATCTTTTTTTTTTTTTTTAAATATATTTTATTGATTTTTTACAGAGAGGAAGGGGGAGAGTAGAGAGTTAGAAACATCGATGAGAGAGAAACATTGACCAGCTGCCTCCTGCACATCTCCCACTGGGGATGTGCCCGCAACCCAGGTACATGCCCTTGACCGGAATCGAACCCGGGTCCTTTCAGTCCGCAGGCCGACGCTCTATCCACTGAGCCAAACCGGTCTCAGCAGCTACTTCATCTTTTAGAAAAGTTTGATAATGTGAGGTCCCCAGATATTTTCCTCTCACCCCGCCCCCTGCCACCCAAACACTCCTTTTATAATCACTGTTAACACATTAGTAGTTTGTAAGAATAAAGTAACCATGATGTACTTTCATCACAATAAGGAAAATACCATTCCTGACAGCAATATTTGCTTTCTTTTATCATAATCTTACTATCAAACTCTAAAATAAGAAATGTTACCTTGAAACAATGCAGTAGGGAAGTAGTGAGAGGATGTGAGTTTACAACCTTGCAATCACACAATCTTGCAATCGTAATAAAGTACTTTTTCTGTGCACGATTTGAAAAGTTTGGCAAGTCTTTTTCTCTTTTTCCAAAAACTAGCCACATTTATGTTTTTCACTGTTTAATAAACTAGTTTGTGAGACTTACTGTTGCTAACTGAAAGAAAATCTTACACTAGAGAATAGAATACTCACACAATTATTTCATAATATGTGTTTTCAATTTGGTAAACACTCCAAAGAACACTTACCTGCTTTACATTGTATCCCGCTTTTGCACTAGTTTCAATAAACATAACATTCAGCTCTTTGGCTTTCCTCTCTCCCTCCTCAATTGATACTTGCCTGTAGAAAAATAAACCAAATTCTTCTTTTTGAAAGATGTTATTATAAAGATTAGAAACAAAGTTCTATAATAACTTTTCTTGATATGGGTGCTGGTTACACAGACAAGACTAGTTTGAAAATTTAAGCTGCTGTACACTTAAAATGTGTGCACTTGTACTAGTATGTGTATGTTATATCAAGACTTTTTTTAATGATTTGCTTTTACCTTTTTTATTTTTTTAAACTTAATAGCCTGCTATTTTTAATAGCCTATAACTTTTTTTTTAAACTTAATAGCCTGCTATTTTTTCTTAATATTAGACCCTAAGTATTTAATCATGTGATTAAAAACTTTGTGTAAAATAATTTTTTATTGCTAAACAATTTGTCAATTTGCTACTATAATTTATTTTTTATCTATTTTATTTTTTAATTTTTGGTAACCCTCACCCAAGGATATTTTTCCATTGATTTTTTTTTTTTCTTTTTTTAGGGAGAGTGAAAGAGAGAGGGAAAGACAGAGAGAAACATTGATGTGAGAGACACACATCGATTGGTTGCCTCCTGCACGAGCCTGGGCCAGGACCTGGGCCAGGGAGGAGCCTGCAACCAAGGTACGTGCCCTTGACTGGAATCAAACTCAGGACCCTTTGGTCTGCAGGCTGATGCTCTACCCATTAAGCAAAACCGGCTAGGGCAATTTTCTACTATAATTTATATAACCATTCCCAAACTGTTAAAAATGTAAGTTGGTTTCAAATTCTACACAAATGTGAAAAATGATGCTATAAACATCTTTGTGCTTACTACTTTGTGCACTGTGGATCATTTCCGGAGGCTGAATTTTGTGAATATCTGCAAGTGAAAAAGCGAATCAAAAGACATGTATGTTGGCCCTGGCCAGTGTTTCTCAATGGTTAGGATGTAGGCCCACGCACCAAAGGGTTGTGGGTTTGATTCCCACTCAAGGCATGTACCTGGGTTGCAGTTTTGATCCCTGGCCCCAGTCAGCTTGCATGCAAGAGGCAACCAATCAAAATCTCACATCATTGTATGTGTCTCCCCCACTGCTCCCCTCCACCTCCCTACCTTCCACTCTTTCTAAAAATCAATGGGGAAAAAATATCCTAGGGTGAGGTTAAAAAAAACCTACACATTTATGTTGAAGTCTCTTGATACAGAGTTTAAAACTTTAATACTTATTTTAGAGGACATTTTGTGATGTATTATAATTAGCAGTGTCTCAAATTGTAAACTCTTCAAGTATAAGATTATCTCATTGATCTTGGTGTTCCAAGTGCCTAGCTGGCAACACAGGTGTTCAGCTCTACAAATTTGTGTGTGTATATAAATTTTAAATAACACACTTTTTCTTAACAGTTTGAAAGTTGACAATCTATAAACCTTTAGCCTTGAATGCTTTAGCAGTGTGGATTTCCTAAAAATAATTGTCAGCCCAGCAGGCATGGCTCAATGGTTGAACAGGAGGTCACGGTTCAATTCCCAGTCAGGACACATGCCCAGATTGTGGGTTCGATCCCTAGTGTAAGGCTGTGCTGATTCTCTCTCATCATTGATGTTTCTATCTCTCTCTCCCTCTCCCTTCCTCTCTGAAATCAATAAAAAAATATATTTTAAAAATAATAATTCTGTCAGGTGCCCTCAAACTTACTCTTGGACCTCTTTCCTATCTACAATTAGTCCCCCTGGTGATCCCACACAGTCTCATGGTTTAAAGTACCATCTATATGCTGATGACTCCAAAACTTACTTATCTATCTGAGCCATCTGCCTTGGGACTTTTCCTCCTTAAAATATCTGCATAGTTAACTTCACATGTAGGGTTAACTATGCCATTTAATATTTCAAACTCACCCTTGACATTTCATATTCCCTTGCCCTGCTTTATTTTGTCTGGTTCACTCTCTGAAATAAAAACTCCGTGAAGACTTACCTTTTTTGTCCACTACTCTACCCTAGAGTACCATCCTCTGAAACATAAGTGATATCCAATAAATACTTCTTGAATGATTATTAGTCTGTAAACCCTACATGTGAAGAACTCCAGACAAAAACCATTTCTAGTTGCAGAATTATAAGTCACCCTAATAAAATGGTTGAATGTTAGCTATAGCAATGACCCCAATTGTGGTTTGATTTTGTCACAATCACCTAAGGAAAATTCTCTAAAATACATTTCCAAAGGCCCTATTTTAGACTAACATAGTACCTAGAAATAGGGTTAAAACCGCCCAAATTTTAAAAGTTGACCATGATCCTTTATAGCTAGAATCTTAAAAGAGGTTCTAATAAGCCATATTTACCATGTTTGAAACATTTGGGGATCACTGGCCTATAGGGAACAGAAAGTACTGAACATCTAGGTGCTTAAATTGAGACATTGAAAAATATATTCTAGCCTTTCCTTCATGTTTTTACCCCCCAAAAAAGTAATTCTCAAAGAAAGTGACATTTAACTTTTCATAAAAAATAGATGAGCCCTAGCCGGTTTGGCTCAGTGAATACAGAATCGGCCAGTGGACTGAAGGGTCCAGGGTTTGATTCCAGTCAAAGGCACTTACCTTAGTTGCACGCCCTGGTCGGGACGCATACAGGAGGCAAACAATTAATGTCTCTCTCTCACATCGATGTTTCTCTCTCTGTCTCTCCCCCTCCCTTCTACTCTCTTTGAAAATCAATGGAAAAATGTCCTTGGATAAGAATTTTAAAAAGATGAAAAGATACTTTGAATTTACTTTTAAATTATAAAAAATTTTTTGTCACTGTACTGCCAATTCCAAATGAAGTACCTTGGCCAGCAATGGGCTTAACATTTCCACAAGTCTTTGAACATAGTGGATTTCTTTGCAACATTTTAATTAATAGCACAAGTTTATTGCCTGAATTTCAATATCCGACTCATGAACAAATAATAAATAAATAGTAAAAGCTTCCACTATTAAGTAAAATGGTGAAGACTATTTAAAGCAGAAAGAATATCAAGATCACTTAGTAATGCTAAAGGCAGATACTGAAGCCATAGGTTTGATAGTAAATGTTAATACATTTTGCATCCTGTGACTTGAATATGGCTTTCCTCATTTGATTAAGGTATCACAATCAAGCTATTCAGTTCAACTACACAGTCTGGCTCAACCAAACAATTTAAAAAAGAAAAAAAACCCACACCACTGAATTATAATGAATATTTATAAGAAGACTACCAAAAGAGTGTGTATTTAGTTATTATGAGTAATTTTTAAAATATATTTTTATTGACTTTAGAAAGGAAGGGAGAGGGAGAGAGAGATAGAAAAATCAATGATGAGAGAGAATCATTGTTCGGCTGCCTCCTGCACACCCCCTTGTGGGGATCGAGCCTGCAACCCAGACATGTGCCCCTGACCGGAATCGAACCTGGGACCCTTCAGTCCGCAGGCTGACGCTCTATCCACTGAGCCAAACCGGCTAGGGCAGTGATCGGCAAACTCATTAGTCGACAGAGCCAAATATCAACAGTACAACGATTGAAATTTCTTTTGAGAGCCAAATTTTTTAAACTTAAACTATATAGGTAGGTACATTGTTATTAACCTACCTATATAGTTTAAGTACTGTTGATATTTGGCGCCTCCCCTGCACTGCGTATCCCGTGGCCCGCCTGCGCCGCCTCTCCCGACACCCGACCAACTGAACAACACCCCCCACTTTTTCTAACGCCACTTCTTCAAAATAGACTCGCCCAGGTCAAAAACCAACTTCTGCGTATGGGCCACGAAGTTTCAATCGCACTGTACGTGCGTGCCCTCACGTGGTATTTTGTGGAAGAGCCACACTCAAGGGGCCAAAGAGCCGCATGTGGCTCGCGAGTCGCGGTTTGCCGACCACTGGGCTAGGGGAAACATTTTGTTCCTCAACAGAACACTGCTCATATTTATGAGGCCTAAAAAATGCAAAATTTAGCTTTATGTGTAAACAATCTTGCACAAGAGTTACTTATACATGGGCTTTAATAAAACAAACAAACCTCATTTTTCCTTTAAGGGCTGAGTTTAATGTTTTATATTTCAGGTTCCCACACTGAAGAAAAAGGGGACATAAACTTAAGGATTTAACATGTTATTTTAAAAACAATTCTTCAGTAATATTATAAATAACAGACTACTTAACAAATAAACCAAACATTTCATATACATACAAAATCACTCCATACCTCTTATCAGCAAGATCTGTTTTATTTCCTACTAGCATGATGATAACATCACTTCCTCTTTCTGTTCTGACATCATCAATCCATTTTGTAGTTTGCTGGAATGAGTTAACATCTGGTATAAAAGGGTGAACAGAGACATCAATGTTATTATAAATGCCTCCCCATGTGATGGACCAAAAAATAAAGAAGAAACGTAAACAAAGAAAGAAAGGAAAAAGAAAGAAAGGGGAAAAAAGCCCTGGAAATTGGAAGGAGGCTGGCACATTAGGACCCACTTTTAATGTGCCTGTAACATAACTCCATTTTATCTGAGTATAACTGTCAGTAGTCTAAACAAATCACAAATATAAAATCCTCACGGTTCCTTTTATAGTGGTTTAAAATGTTGAACACAACTAAATGAGTGCAATGTACTATATGTAACTGAAAAAAATGTTTTAATGTAAGGACAGCTATGGCAGATAATATGGTGTTACATTGCCACAATATTTTTTGATTACTTACACATACCAAACATGACAAAGAAAGCATCTCCAAAAGTATGTCAGCCAGTAAGACCCAACACATCCAGAAAATTTGGAAAGCCTTTAAATAGCTTTCAACACCACTCTATTTGCATTGCTTATTCAGTTTGTGATCACTTTAACTTGAAGTTTGTATAATGCACCAGAATCACTTGTTTAAAAAAATCCATCTTTTCTAGCACTAGATTCTAAGTAGAATACTTCAATATTTTTCATAGTAGCTAAAAAAAAAATAGTTTAAAAAAATAGTTCACTAATATTTTAACCTCCTGTGCACAATTTTTAAAGAAAAATACATACGGTTTCACTTGATCTGGTTAAAGTAAGCACAAACATTTTAAAGCTGCAAAACTTGTCAATGCACAATAATGAACATACAGTTTTTTAAACAAGTAGCAACCCAAAGTAAAGCTTCAAGAAAAGATGGCATATAGCACCTAACCAAAATAAAAGGTCTCTGAATGCAAACTTGTAATTTATAATTCTGCCATTGCAATTATTATTAAGTAGATAGGACTTCTGGTTGAGCAGATATGCAAAAATGTATGAGAATATTATTACTTGCTCAAATCAATAGTTTGTTGATAATGGAGTACTATCCTGGTTTTTCTATAAATTATGGACCACTAGACAGAATGATGCTTAATATTGCCTAATATATTTTTAAAAAACAATTTACAAAGATAATTTTAATCAGAGAGCATTTCCTTATCAGTCACCAATGCTCTATGGAACATTTAAAGTCACATAAAATTCTAAAGGCATTATTCAGTTTCTAGGGAAAAGAAAAAGGAAGAACAATACTTTAGTCTATTTATTTTCTTGGGGAGAAATGAAAGTGTAATTTGTTAGCAACAAAGCAAGTCAGTCAATCATAGAATCCAGATATTCAAATGAAAATGATTAATAGAAGATTGCACATTATGATTTCTCTGCCTTCCTCTATAGAGAAAGAATGGCTGTAAGGGGAAAAGCAGGGAAAAGTAGGCTAGCAGAAGTTTTTAATAGCCTCAACAGAAGCCTTGGAAGATTTGGAAAACTTGGCAAGAGGCTTAAATGCAGATTTACTTTATTTTAGAAAAGTCTGAGATCAAGTTAAATAAAAAAGATGTTCTTCCAACCATAATTATGATGTGACTTAGGGATAATAGGATATTAAGAAAGCCTTGGAGAGGATTCATAATTAAACCCAAAGGAAAATTTCCAGGACAAAAAATGTGGCACAGTAGAATAAAGGGTATTGGTACAAACACCAAGCAAATATTTCTAACCTAGACAATCTGTGAAAAGGTTTGCTATGATAAAACTCATTTTTGCATGCCAGTATTGAAAACAAGCACAAGACAAGAACATGCATACAGCTAAGCTAAAGGTTGAAAGAAGATTAGAAATGCATAATTCCCCCCCACTCACTTGTGATATCATAAACAACAACTGCCACAGTGGAGTCACGAATGTAGCTAGGAATCAAGCTCCTGAACCGCTCTTGACCTGCTGTGTCCCATAATTGCAATCGTACCTAACAACAAAATCAGTCAAACAAGCAAGAAGGTCAACCCATTGCAAAATACCTACTTGTGATATCGTAAACTACTACGGCTGCAGCAGAATCACGGATGTAACTGGGAATGAGGCTACGGAAACGTTCCTGACCCGCAGTATCCCACAGCTGCAGCCTGATCTGTGGGATGGGAAAAAATGAATAAAAAAAAAAAAAACCAAACTCATACTAAAAATAAAAAAGAAAAAATGTTTTTAAAGGGGTAGAAAGGAAGTAAAACAAAGACTCATGCAAAAGGTTGCAGGGATGTGAAGAATGAAAACACAAAACTTTCCTTTTTCAAAAGAGAGTAATATAAAAATGTATCTGAAGATACATGACTTAAAAATGGCAATGGCAAATTCTTCACAGAATCAGAAATACAGCTTCCTTCCCCCCCCATCTCCACCCCCTCTCTATGAATCCTATGCCTTCTGGATAGCAAAAAGTAGACTCTGTTCATGTTCAAATAGTAAGCATAACAGGGAAAAACAAAGGGAAAAGTCAATGAGCAGCCCAGGCTATCACAGTAAAGAAATTAATGCTTCTCAGAAAGCCTCTCTGAAGCTAAAATGTGTCCCTTTTCTATTGGGTCTGGAACACTCTGAAATTGGGTCTCTGACTACTGTGATTATGTTTCTCCCACACACTTCTTCCCAGAACACTGTATATAATCTAACAAAAAAGAGGAGTATCTTTTTGCAACCCTACATAAAAATTTTACTTTCTTACTTTTTCACATTTGAGGAAGAAAAGCCTAAAAACAGGCATTAAGTTCTTTTACCATTATAAAACTGTTTCTAAGCTTTCAAATTTTAAGAAATGGCATGCTATATATTAAAACATGAAAGAGAACATCCAAAAGAACACACACACTTATAAGAAATAATATTAGATATAAAATGTTTTGGGGTATAGGTCCCAAAATATTGCATTTAAGACAGTCACTGTTTAGGTGATAGAAATCTCTTCAAGAGGTAGTGGACTAGAATACAGAATTTACATTGTACTTATTAAAGGGAACATTCCTAAAGATGGAAGACAAATCCAACAAATAAATACACATTCTATTTACAGTCACTTTGGTATACATCATATTCTGACAAATAAAACCTTGAAGTTCACAAGTTTTGTCAAATTCAAATGAAATCCTTCTGAATGCCTTAACAGTGGCATTCAAAAGGTCTTTAGCAGCTCTAAATATCTCAATGCTGTATTTGTTACCATTTTTCTAAATCAGGACGACGAATTCTGTTTAACAAGCCTAGGGCCTTCAGGGTTTTATAAATAACTTGGCTTTCTCTCCTTTTTGGGTTTCACTTGGGGTTAAGAAGTCAGAGTGCTAAGACTTATTCATTCTGTAATAAGTTTTTCTCAAGACCTGTAAATTAACTTTGGCAAGTTTGCTAAGTACATTCTATAGTGACAATCATTGATTATAGTTTGATCACCATTTTCTATGCTGGAGTGTTGAAGAAAATTGCACATGGAAAACATTACTCACTGTTCGATCTTCCAAGTACATTGTTTTTGATAAAAAGTCAATACCAATTGTTGCCTGTAAACCAAACCAAAACAAAGAAGTTAAATAATAATAATAATAGTTTAATGGCAGTCAGCAGTTTCAGGTTCAAATGGGAATTCTGATTGTGGTAGAAATAATGAATAAACATAAACACATTGTCGTCAAGTAAGAATGAACAAAAGTTTCAGTGATAATGGGGATTCTTTTAGGCCCTTCACATGATCATCTCTAATCCTCATAAATCTCTGCAAGTTAGCTATTTTTATCGCTGTTTTTCTCATTGTAGAGATAACAATATTGGAGTTCAGAGAAGTTAAATGACTTATCTAAGGACACAAAACTTCTGTTGTAGAGTTGGAATTAAAAGCTCTTTCCAATATATGCTTATTAGATATATATCTTAACCATTTTTTTATTAAAAAGACTTTATTTTGAGTAGTTTTAAGTTCACAGCAAAACTGAGAGGAAGATATACTCCCAAAATATGCACAGCGTCCTCTATTATCAACATTACCCACCAAAATGTTATATTTGTTGTAACTGATGAACCTACATTGACACTGATATATTTTTAAAGATAGTTTTAATTTTTAAATGGTGGCAAAATATATGTATCATAAAATTTGACATATTAACCATTTTCAAGGATACCATTCAATGGCATTAATTACATTCACAATGATATACAACTGTCAATACTATCTATTTCCAAAACCTTTTCATCACCCCAAATAGAAACTCTGTACCCATTAAGCAATAACATTTGACAGTAAATCCATTCATCTATTGATGAACAACTGGGTTATTTCCACTTTTTGGCTATTGTGAATTCCTGTTTTCAATTATCCTTGGTTTATATCTAGGAGTGGAATTGCTGGGCCATATGGTAATTGTATTTAACTTTGCGAGGAAATGTCAGACTTTTTCACAGTGGCTGCACTATTTTAAATTCTATCCTAGTAGGTGTGAAGTGGAATCTTATTGTGGTTTTGATTTGCAGTTCTCTAATGACTATTGATGTTGAGAATTTTTTCATGTGTTTTCAGCTATTTGTATATCCTCTCTGAAGTAATGCCTATTGAAGTCCTTCACCCATTTAAAATTTGAGTTTGTCACTTTTATTATGATTTGTAGTTCTTTATATAGTATTCTGAATATTAAACACTTACTAGACATGTAACTTTCAAATATTTCCTCCCATTCTGTAGGTTGGGCCCAGTACACCTTTATGGAAAATCCATTGTTAATAGATACATGGATTTTGTTATGGATTCTCAATTATATTCCATATATAGGTCTATATGTCTATCCTCGTGCCAGTATCACATTATTTTGATTATTGTAGCTTTGAATTAAGTTTTAAAATCTGAATGTACTAGTTCTCCAACTTTACTTTTCTTTTTCAAGGCTGTTTGGCTACTGCAAATCAGGATTGGCTCTTTAATTTCTACAAAAAATGGTGGCAAAAATTTTTATAGGAATTGCACTGAATCTATAGATTGCTTTGGGTAGTTACTACTGACATCTTAACAATATTAAGTCTTCCAATCCATTTACCTGGGACATCTCTCCATTTATTTAGGTCTTTAATATTTTGAGCAGTGTTTATTATAGATTTCAGTTACACAGAAACTTTTATAAAAAAACACACACACACGCACACAAAGAAGTTTCATCCTTTATCTTAAATTATGTGACTATGTATTTCAGTAATGTTTCTCAATTTAGGGCTTAAGTACATATAAGCGAAGTACTAATTCCATTTTATATATCCATCTGAGAATGGATATATGGTGGGATAACAGGTTTATAACTTTGAACTTACTGTGCAAGAGTATCTACTTGACAAACCTGAACAATGTACAGGAATGAGATATGGCTACATTTAAGAAACCTCATCAGGAGAACCTCATCTACTCACTATGGTAGAAGCAGCTAATTGCCCACACAAATATCCATCTTCCCCTTCTTCCTTAATAACACAAACATTTATTTAAATACATACTTTTTCCATCAAAAAAACTACATTGTCCAGTCTTCTCTGAGTTTTAAATAAATGGGGCTCTCTGAGTTGGCAGGTATACCCTTGGTTTTATCTTACTTCTCCTTCCTGCCTGAAATGTGGGTAACAAAACTCTAGGAAACATTCAATAACCATGAGGCAAACTTCAATATGAAAGTCATATATTAGATCTGTTTGTTTAGACAGAAAATTAGGAGGAGTCTTGGTCCCAGATGCCCATAGAGCTGCCAAATACCTCCTGAACTACCCTACCTCTAAAATTATTTTACATGAAAAAAAAAATTCTCAGCTGTGCTATGGAGTAACTTTCTCTGTCCCACTCCTTCACTGATAAATTCTCTTTCACCTAAAAATAATTCTCATGTCACTTATTAATGTTATTAAGTTTGTTAAAAACAGCCAAAAATAATTTTTAATGGCTACAAACAGAAATTGTCATTTTTCAAATCTCATAGCCAACACATGTTTTTTTAAATTAGTACAGTCAGACTTTATGATAAATTGTACAATAGTCCCCTGCTTCCACTACGTCATCCTAGTTTGGAGACATTTATACCACTGAACTCAAAGATCAAAATTAACCTGAAAAACAACCTACTGCTGCTTTTCTTTTCAGTTAATTTTATACCAAGCAGAGCTATTATGGCAAAGAAGTCAACAGCAGGGAAACAGAAAAAAATTCCAGGGAAAATAAACATTATCAGCTACTGGAGCATCTTGAATGCTGACATGAAACTAATTCAAAACTTTATAAAAGCCGAAACCGGTTTGGCTCAGTGGACAGAGCGTCAGCCTGCGGACTGAAAGGTCCCAGGTTCGATTCCGGTCAAGGGCATGTACCTGGGTTGCGGGCACATCCCCAGTGGGAGATGTGCAGGAGGCAGCTGATCGATGTTTCTAACTCTCTATCCCTCTCCCTTCCTCTCTGTAGAAAATCAATAAAATATATTAAAAAAAAAAACTTTATAAAAGATAAATGAGTGGGAGGGGGTTGGAAAAGGTTAATGGGGGGAAAAGGAGGGCCAATGTAATACTTCCAACAATAAAGATAATTTTAAAAAAAGATAAATAAGACATTACTGCTGCTTCACATTCATTTCCTTTATGGAAATAGAGAAGACAATAATTGTAGAAGAAATCAAAGGTTAAAGAATTTTCCCATGTATCTTAAATTACAACTTCACATTATTTAAGTGTTAATTAATTCATTGATTTGGGGGGTGATCTACTTTATAAAAAGCATATTAAACTTGCGGGAAAATACATACCAAAAATAGAACCAGATTCAGATTTTAAATTTACCCTAAAAACTTTTAGAAAAATAAAAATGGTTTGATAAATAATTGAGACAGTGGCAGTTAACAACTATGAAAAGTAATCATTCCTTTAATCAGATTAACATTTGATATCCTATATAATAAAAGGCTAATATGCAAATTGACCGAATGGCAGAACGACTGGTCCCTATGACAAGTACTGACCACCAGGGGGCAGACGCTCAACATGGGAGCTACCCCCTGGTGGTCAGTGCGCTCCCACAGGGGGAGCACTGCTCAGCCAGAAGCTGGGCTAATGGCTGGCGAGCACAGCGGCAGTGCGGGAGCCTCTCCCGCCTCCAAGGCAGCGCTAAGAAGCAGCAAGCCGAGCAGTAAGGAGCAGTGAGCAGGCGGACGGTAAGAAGCAAGGGGTCCCAGACTACGAGAGGGATGTCTGATTGCCGGCTTAGGCCCACTCCCTGCCCCCGAGGGGTCTTGGACTGCGAGAGGGCGCAGGCAGGGCTGAGGGACCCCCCAGTGCACAAATTTCATGTACTGGGCCTCTAGTATTAAGATAAAACAATGGAAATCAAGTTTTTATACTAACTACACAGTAACACAGATATAAAATAGATACTTAAAGGAGTCATTTTATTTTTTTTATTTTAACAAGAACATTTCAAAAAGTTAATACAGAAAGCCCTAGCCAGTTTGGCTCAGTGAATAGAGCATCGGCCTATGAACTAAAGGGTCCCAGGTTTGACTCTGGTCAATAGCACATACCCAGATTTCAGGCTTGATCATGCAGGAGGCAGCCTATCAATGATTCTCTCTCATCACTGATGTTTCTCTCTCTCTCTCTCTCTCTCTCTCTCTCTCTCTTTCTCTCTCTCTCTCTCTCTCTCCCCCTATTTGAAATCAATAAAAAAATATTTTTAAAAAAGTTAATACAGAAAAAGTTTTGCAAATGCTTAGGGTCTCAGTGAAAGCACTTGGTTTTAAGATTACTAATTTTTTCTTCTTAGTTTGTTTTTATTTTTATTTTACAATTATGCAGTTCAAACTAAAATACATACATATAACTTAGATATACATAAAACTTAAACATATGTAGAACTGAGAGCAGACATCCTTATTTTGTTCCTGATCTTAAAGAAAAGCATTCAGCCTTTTAAGATTAAGTATATTTGTTGTGGTTTTTCACTGATACCCTTTATCATGTTTAGGAAGATCCCTTGTATTTCTAGTTTGTTAAACAGTGTTGTTGTTGTTGTTTTTTACCATGAATGGCTATTGGACTTTGTCAAATTCTTTTTCTTTGTCCATTGAAATGATCATGTGATTTTGTCCTTTATTCTATTCGTACAATGTATTACATTACTTTTTCTATGTTGAACCAATTTGTAATCCTGATACCAACCTACCAATCCCACTTTATAAATGGTATATAATCCTTTTGACACATTGCCAAACTCAGTTTGGTAATAACTGTTGATGATTGTTGTGTTTATATTCACAAAGAATATCAGTCTGCAGTTTTAATTTTGATGTCTTTGGTTGGGTATCAAACTTAATATTGACCCCATAGAATGAGTTGGGAAGTATTCCCTCCTGTTCTGTTTCTTGGAAGATGATGAAGTTTTTGTGTTGTTTATTAAATATTTTATAGAATTGAACAGATGTCTTCAGAGATGAGAATCTAGTCCTGGGATTTTCTTTGTAGAAGTTTCTGATCACTAATTCTATCTCTACTTATTATAGATACATTCAAATTTTCTATTTCTTCTTGTATCTTTCTTGGAATTTAACCATTTCATCTAGGCCAGTGGTCAGCAAACTGCAGCCCCTTGAGTGTGGCTCTTCCACAAAATACCACGTGCGGGTGCGCACGTACAGTGCAATTGAAACTTCGTGGCCACACTCAAAGGGCCAAAGAGCCGCGTGTGGTTCGCGAGCCACAGTTTGCCGACCACTGATCTAGGCTATCTAGCTTGTCGACATAATTATTCACAGTATTCTCTTATAATCCATTTTAATTCCTGCATAGTCAGTAGTAATGTCCTCTCCTCAATCTTGATTTTAGTAATTTGAGTCTTTTTTAAATTTATTAGTCTAGCTCAAGGTTAGTTGATTTTGTTTATCCTTTCTAAGAACCACTTTTAGTTTCATTGCATTTCTCTACTGTTTTTCTATTCTCACATATATTTCTGCTCTAATCTTTATTAGCTTCTGAATTAAGCATGTCTTTATTTTGTTTTGTTTTCACATCTGGGAGACTGGCCCTCCCAGAGTTTACCAATTCCTAGAAATAGTAAACTTGCCTGTGAGAGCACCTTTAATATGCAAACCAACCAATCCAGAGCCCATAATTCCAACCACTTCATGTATCACACTCAGGGCCACTATTCCCCAGCCCTATCATAGAGCCAGGTACCAGACAACTAGGAATGGTTCCTGCACCCAGAGCCCACTGAAATTATTCAAACTAGGCAATCCTAAATCTGCTTTCCTGGTCTCACCTATCCTTCCCACAGAAACCACAATAAAGGCTCTTGCCCACGTTTCCCATTTCCCACTCCTCACCTCCTAACCAACTCAACAACTTCCCCATGTGCCTCCCTCCCATGGCATGGTGCATCCTCCTCCTCTTGGGATCTCTGAGTACAACAGATTTTTTCAATGGCAATAATCCCCTAATCTGTTAGCCTCACCATACATGAATAAAAATAAAACCTACATTTTAAAAGTTTCTTCCTATTGCTTGCTTTAGATTTAGTTTACTTTTCTTTTTCTAGCTTTTTATGGTAGAAGGTTAAATTATTGATTTAATGTTTTTATTTTCCTTATAGCACTGTTTTAGCTGCATCCCATAAATTTTGGTATATTGTATTTTCTTTTTTCTCAAAGTATTTTCTAACTTCCCTTGTGATTTTGTCTTTGATCCAATGGTTATTTAGGAATGTGTTATTTAATTTCCACATATTGGTGAATTTCCCAAATCTCCTTTATTCTTGACTTCAAGTATAAGTCAAAATGTCACAGAATCCTAGACTAGAACAAAATCTCTGTAAAAGAATATTTACAATCATTCCTACTTCTAGCCCAGATGGTATTAGCGATAATCTTTCAATATACTTTGGAAGAAATACAGAATCACATGAAGATGTCGAACACAATGAGCAAAATCAGTTATACTTTGCATTTTACAGATTACAAAGTGCTTTTATTTCCATGACTGCATGTGAATTTTTTAAAAACACCATACAAGGTGTCCCAAAAAATGTATACATTACTAAAAGTAGATAGCTCAACTGATGTTTCTTTCTTTTCAGATTTAACCCACTGGAATTAATAATTATTCGAAGAGTGTATATATTCTTGGGGGTACACCATATATTACTTATAACATACAAAATAGAGACAACTAGTAAATTGGCAAAAACAAAATACCTGATAGGTGTTGTCAAAACTGTCATACATGAATCTGGTGATCAAGGATGTCTTTCCAACTGAAATTAAAAGGAAAAAATTCACTCAGTTAACACATTACATTGGGTTCTCGAAAAATACTTTTACAAAGAACTGCAATTAAATTCAATGGGAAATATCTGCAAAGGTTCTAATAATAATGAAAAAAACACAAAGCCCCAAGTTTATTGAAATGATTTTTTTCTAATTAAACAGATAACAACCTCTCAAATTAAAAGCACAAGTAAAGAGTATTTACTTAGTTAAGAGTTGAGGAAAATGAAGAGAAAAGATGGAGGAAAACAATCATGTTGATATTCTTAATTCACAAATAGGCAAAGCAGGTATTTCTTGGGCCCTAACAAAAAGAACTAGGATTAGATCATGAAGCAATTATAATTAACTTCCTGGAGAGTAACCTGGAGAAACTGAGGTTCAGGTCTACTTAATTCAATGAATGAAAGCATAATCCCTGGGAATATAAAGACTGGAGAGTCCTAGGAGAAATATGAGGGTTAAAAGAACTAGACCAGCCGTGGGCAAACTACGGCCCGCGGGCCGAATCCGGCCTGTTTGAAATGAATAAAACTAAAAAAAAAAAAAAAAAGACCGTACCCTTTTATGTAATGATGTTTACTTTGAATTTATATTAGTTCACACAAACACTCCATCCATGCTTTTGTTCCGGCCCTCCGGTCCAGTTTAAGAACCCATTGTGGCCCTCGAGTCAAAAAGTTTGCCCACCCCTGAACTAGACTGTCTGTGAATGAGAAAGAAGTAACATGGAGCCCTAGCCAGTGTTGCTCAGTGGATAGAGTGTCGGCCTGTGGTTCCCAGGTTCCATTCCATTCTGGTCAAGGGCACGTACCTCGTCTGCAGGCTCCTCCCTGGCCCTGGCCCTGGTAAGGGCTCGTGCAGGAGGCAACCAATTGATGTGTTTCTCTCACATTAAAATTTCTGTCTTTCCCTCTCTCTTTCATTCTCTCTAAAAATCAGTGGAAATATATCCTCGGTTGAGGATTAAAAAAAGAAAGGAAGAAGTAACATGGAAAGTACTAGCATAATACTTTGCCATCATTAACTTTACTCAAAAACCTTTCAGTCTAAGTGTACAAATTTAACATAAGGAAAAAATCCTGATCCACTTTTTCTTAGTAAGACATTTTTTAATTGGCAATAAAACACTTATCTCCAATTATCTTATTTGTGCATTTATTTACTAATGTATCTCCCCAACTTACAAAGGGTAAGATGCAGATCATCTTGTCTTCTTCATGGATATACTAATAGTGTTGGTCCCTGCCTGGCACTGAATAAAATTAATCAATGAAAAGAAACTTCACTGCCGAAACCGGTTTGGCTCAGTGGATAGAGCGTCGGCCTGCGGACTGAAAGGTCCCAGGTTCGATTCCGGTCAAGGGCATGTACCTGGGTTGCGGGCACATCCCCAGTGGGAGATGTGCAGGAGGCAGCTGATCGATGTTTCTCTCTCATCGATGTTTCTAACTCTCTATCTCTCTCCCTTCCTCTCTGTAAAAAATCAATAAAATATATTAAAAAAAAAAAAAAGAAACTTCACCAAGTTGACAGCATTCACTACTAAGGTGGTTAGACTCTGGAAGACAACAGCCTGCAACATCCTTGCATTCTTGGAAAAATAAAAGTAGATACAGTTCATAGGGACATACTTAAAATAATATTTAGGAAATCAAGTTTTTAAAACCAGAACACCAAATTTACTAATTTACAATAAGAAATAAATTTCGGAAGGATGGAAATTTGACTAGCAAATTTTCTCATTCAAATTGTACACTTATAACTTGCATGCTTTTCTATTATGCTATACTTCAGTAAAAAGTTTTCCTTACTAAAAAATCTAAGTAATCATTGTTTGAAATAACATCTTATAGGGTTTTATACAGACACGCACACAATTAAAATACACATAGTACTTTATTTTTTTTTAAATATATCTTTATTGATTTCAGAGAGGAAGGGAGAGGGAAAGAGCGATAGAAACATCAATGATGAGAGAGAATCATTGATTGGCTGCCTCCTGCACGTCCCCCACTGGGGATCAAGCCCACAACCCAGGCATGTGCCCTTGTCCAGAATCGAACCTGTGACCCTTCAGTCCACAGGCTGACGCTCCATCCACCAAGCCAGACCAGCTAGGGCGCGCACACATAGTACTTTAAAGTCAAAAGGAGGAGTGGTAAGTATAGTTAGAGTTCTAAGGTCCTTACATTGCCCAGAAGGGGAGAGGAATCAATTAATGGTAGACTTTTATGTCACAGCTGCATGCCACAAATTCTAGGGCAATCTATAATAATAAAAGTGTAATATGCTAATTAGACTGGACATCCTTCCAGATGAAGCTGGGGCTGCGAGGGCCAAGGCAAGCCGCTGTGGCTGTGAGGGCCCTGCCCCTTGCACGAATTTCGTGCATTGGGCCTCTAGTCATTAAATAAAAGAGAAAAAATGTATATCTTCCCAATTTTAATAAAGCAATTAATATGGAATGATTTTTAAAAGACTACGAATTCAAATAACACAAGGAAAGGAAGAAATAACCAGGGGGAAAAGCATATTAAGAAGACAGATTTAGCTCTGGCCAGTTTTGCTCAATGGTTGAAGGTCAACCCAGGAACCAAGAGGTTGCCAGTTCGATTCCCGCCGGGGTTGCACTCTAACCCTAGTAGGGGTGCCAATCAATGATGCTCCTCTCTCATCGATGTTTCTATCTCTCTCTCCCTCTCCTTTCCTCTCTCTCTAAAAATAAATAAAAACATAAAAAAGAGGACATTTATTTTATTCTTAGAATATGTTTTTATTGATTCCAAAAAGGAAGGGAGAGGGAGAAAGAGAAATAGAAACATCAATGATGAAAGAGAATCATTGATTCGCTGCCTCCTGCTTGTCCTCCACTGGGGATCAAGCCCGCAACCTGGGCATGTACCCAGATCAGGAATCGAACTGTGACTTCCTGGTTCATAGGTTGATGCTCAACTACTGAGCCATGCTGGCTGGGCAACAGATTTATTTTAAATCCAAATATGGTCATGTGTTGTATAACCATGTTTTGGTCAAAGACGGCTGCATGTAGGTCAGTGGTCCCTGAAGATTATAAGGAAGCTGAAAAATTCCTATCTCCTAATGACATTATAAGTGCCCTAATGTAGTAGCATGACACATTACTCACAGGCCTAAAAGCTAATTCTCATCTTACTCTCTTAACTGTAAGTTGCATGTATTAAAAATTTTGTCATATAAATTACAAAAGTCCACTACTGGAAAATACCCAAGAAACACTTAATCTTATCTAACATATTTAACTGATTTACTTTCCAGAAGTGATTAGTTTTTTTATTCTTTTTGTTTAAGGAACATCTAAGTATTCTGTACTTTCTGCACATATTCCACCTACACAAAATTTATCAAGGAAAGGTAGTGTAGTTTAGTTTTTTAGCACTGGAGTCTAGAACCAGATGGTTGAGCTGAAATCCCAGCTTGACCACTTACTTAACTATATCCAACTGGGACAAGTTATTTAACTTCTCTGTGCCTCAACTTCCTCATAGTAAAATGGGAATAACAATAATATCTATCTTAAGAAATCCTTTTTTTACTTAGAAATAATTTCAAGCTCACAGTTACAAAAATAGTACAGATAATTCCAGTATATAAAGACTGTGAAATTAAGTGCTGCAATGCTATTAACTAAACTATAGAGCTTATTTGGGTTTCACCAGCTCTTCTACTAATTCCCTTTTTCTGGTCCCAAGATCCAACCCAGGATCCCACATTGCTTTAGTTGTCATACCTCCTTAGTCTCCTCTCATATCTAACATTTCCTATCTCTCCTTGCTTTCATGGCCTTGACACTTGAAAAATACAGGTCAGTTGTTTTGTATAATGTTCCTCAATTTATATTTGTCAGTTTTTTCACTAGATTCAGGACATGCATTTTTGGCATGACTACCACAGAACCGATGTGTCTCTCTTGGGTGCAACTTTAACAGGGGGAACATGTCTTAATCTTTGAAATGTTAACCTTCATCACTTGGTTACAGTGATCTCCAGTTTCTCTACCATAAGCTTACTGTTTTATTTATCATTTTATGTATTATTATATACTTTTATTACTGTGTAAATATCTTGAAGAGATACTTTGAGACAATATAAATGTGCTGCATCTTCCCAAACTTTTGCTCACTAATTTTAACATTCATCAAATGGATCTTAATCTTGCCCACAGTAATTATTACTATGGTATTCCAATGGGAATGCCTCTGTACCAATTCACCACACAACCATTCTTGTCAATGAGACACTTGGTGAAGTTCCATTTGATGGCATTTCCCAGGATGCCCCTCCCCTTGGGCTGGACTTTCATCCACTTCCACAGAGAGTGGGCTTCATCTCAGTTCACACAGATCTTGCTATACATGTCAAACAGGAGGGAACTCTTTGATCTCAGCATTAGTCCCTGGTTCCTGCTTCCCAAACTAGTTACCAGGGAAAGCCAGAATCAGTAAGGCGCCCTCAGCTTATCAGGTGGGCAGGTCGACAAGCTGAGTAAAGTTTACATCTGTTTTATCTGTTTTGCCTCATTGTGAGGCCACATTGATGACGATGCACAAGAAGCCCCAGTATTTGCCAAGGTTAACCATGCAGCCCATCAATGTTCTTTACTGAGAAGTTGCACATTGACTGAGCACAGTGCCAGTAGTCACAACAAGAGCACCTGGCAAGAGCACCGCACAGAAGCACTCCCATCAGGTGGCACAGGTGGCTCTCCAGGTTCATTTTCTATTTTCCCGGCCCTAGCCCTGAAATCAACCACTTCTCCAAGAAGCTCACAGAGTCAGTTTTTTTTTATTTCTTAAAGTATTACAAAGAGTATTACACATGTCTCCTTTTTGCCCCCCCTTGACATTCCACCT